ATTCACGTTCGTTTTTAATTACTTAATGTTATTCCTACATCGTGAAATTGGTTCGTGTAGACTTGTTAGGTGCTTATTTTCTTAAATACTATCAACTACAATGTTTGAACATCTGGCGCATCACTCGAAATGTCACACGGGAGTTTTCTCAACCATAAATAAGGCAGACTTCGCTCGCTAGCTTGTAACGTTAGTCTGTAGAACTAAATAGCGTTATTCATCATAATTATTACACAATAATAATTTCACGCTACAAAGTTGTGTATAAAATACAATCTATCTATCTCTATATATAAAAATGAATTGCTGCTCGTTAGTCTCGCTAAAACTCGAGAACGGCTGGACCGATTTGACTAATTTTGGTCTTGAATTATTTGTGGAAGTCCAGAAAAGGTTTAAAAGGTAGATAAATATGAAAATGCTCGGAATTAAATAAAAAGAACGATTTTGTTTTTCCTTTGATGTGTCCCCCGTCGGACGGATTTCTTTTGTTTGTTTTAAGTTTATTTTATAAAAAAGTTTAGGTCTTTTATTTATCGATTGAGGCACTGCGAAGTCTGCCGGGTCACCTAATCAAATTATATTTTTGACATTTCTACTTGTAGCACAACAAACAATGATTTGGAATATTTAAACTTAAAACAGAATCTAAGTGCGGCTTGTTGTTTAATCAAGTAAAGAGATTTAGGTCGATCTACCAACGCGTCTCGACCGAAATAAGCTTCTCATGCTTGACCGAATTTTTCCATTGTGTCTAAAAATCAAAGGGACCCAGTGAAATCGAAAAGCAAGTTAAGCCCTCGGGACTCGAAGTGAAAAATAAAATCATCTGAATGTCTAACGAACGACAAAGGAGTTCAAATATTTCATTGAATAACTCAACGAAATTCTTAACAACATAAAGGGCCTCTCACTGTTTAAATATCATTTATTTGTTACGCAAATAACGCGAACCTGCGAAGACGACGACCACAAAAACTAACTGACCGTTAAGAACAGGCCTCTTGAAAACTTCGAGCGATTTCGAGCTCTATTTAGTGGTGCAGAATGACCATCCCTTAACTGTTCTGCGGTTTTATTTCACGGCTCAGCTCCCGTGTCGTAGAGTGATAAAATCCAGCCACACGTCACTGTAACAATTTTTTTTTAATAGGGTGAACCTTTGTTTTACATATTGTTTTATTTCTCGGATTAATACAATGTTACAACCCATTGTATTTGGAGTATTATAGTTACGATGCATTCTATATTTAATGAAGCAGCAACTTTTATTGAAACTTTGATACAATGCCTCATTTCATTTCGTCTAATAAAATAATTATGGGTGACAACCCTATCCAGTTTATGGCAATGCGAACAAAGCCGCTTGTAGAAGCTTTTGAATGGTAAATCAGAGGAATACTTCAAATCTACGCATAATTTCCTGAGTCAGTACCGCTCTTTACCTAGCGACATGACGTTTAAGCCTCAATTTTGTTTTGTAACCGAGGTTCCTCTTTCCAAACCGGAACATATGACTATCATCTATTAAATTAGCATAATGGGAATAGTAGTGAAATCTTCAGTGGCTTAGTAGTAATACGAGCAACAACAATAAGTAATAATTACATATATTTATTTATTTATTCTTTATGCACAAAACAAAACTTGTACACAGGCGGACTTAATGCCATGGGCATTCTCTTCCAGTCGACCATAGGGTGGTGCAGAGATAATGCACGGTAGGTGCATTGACAAAAGAATAACAAACAACAACAACATCAAAACAAAAAAAAGAACAAACTCAAAACAAAAATCTTCCTTAAAATAACATCTCAGTATTATAGAATACACATACTACAATTCAATATACCTATGTATAAAATAGTAAAATACATATGACGGCGTTAACGATATTTATGTTATATAGCACGTGCAATAGGAGTGACTCACACAAGCCAGGCGCGCCGGCCGTGTCGTTCCACTCGTAAACAACAGCTGCAACAGAAGTGACTCATAAGCCAGCTGCGCCGGCTAGTATAAAAAGGCGGAACGTGCCTTGAAATGAACATTCGTTGGACTGCGCTTGCCCAGTGCACTTACTATATCCTTGTTACGTTGTGTGATTCAGTGACTGTTGTACGTACTGGTTAAAGTTGGACAAATGTTAAAGTGAATTGTTAAGATAACAACATATTGTTGATTAAATCAGGAATCAAAAGGTGACATCGTTTTACTTGGTGTTCAACAAGATAATGTCTACCCTCAAGCTTACATCAGAAGTGAGATCAGGACTCTACTCTCACTGGCGTGACGTGTTTGAACATGTTCGAAGTACAGCAAAAAAAACATGATGCAGATCAGAATACTAGTAGTGGTACGCCACAAGAGCNCGTCAGTATGGCCGTGACGGCGTTAACGATATTTATGTTATATAGCACGTGCAATAGGAGTGACTCACACAAGCCAGGCGCGCCGGCCGTGTCGTTCCACTCGTAAACAACAGCTGCAACAGAAGTGACTCATAAGCCAGCTGCGCCGGCTAGTATAAAAAGGCGGAACGTGCCTTGAAATGAACATTCGTTGGACTGCGCTTGCCCAGTGCACTTACTATATCCTTGTTACGTTGTGTGATTCAGTGACTGTTGTACGTACTGGTTAAAGTTGGACAAGTGTTAAAGTGAATTGTTAAGATAACAACATATTGTTGATTAAATCAGGAATCAAAAGGTGACATCGTTTTACTTGGTGTTCAACAAGATAATGTCTACCCTCAAGCTTACACATACATACACATAATTACACACAATAATATACATGTAAAGTAATAATATTTAAATACACATGAAAATACACAATTTAGTATTATAGTTAAGAATGATACTTGTGTATATAATAATATGTATTATATAAGAATAATATAATACATATATACACAAGTAATAATAACGGAAGTAGTTTCGTTGTGCTGATTGAAAGTTAACCCTTTCTTCCAGGTAAGTTTAAATAGGCGCAGAGGAAAGTATGTTTATATCACACTATAAAGTTTAGATTCATTCGCGAAGCAACTGCTCTTGAGCTTGTTAAGTCTCCTTCGGAGAAGCTCGGGCAGCTGTTAGCAAAATTCCATCCCTCCTGGCTGAGTCTTCGGCCGCCCACCTGTCCTGGCGAAACTGTAAAGGCTTGCGGGCCACCAGTAATCCTTTCTTCATAAAAAAAATCGGTTGTCTGTAAAGTCGGTTTACTGAAGATAGTTGAACGTGACAACGTCATAAGAAAATACTGATGGAATGGATTCATTTTTCAAAAGAAAATTTTAGTTTTATTTGTTTGATAGATATTTTGTATGGACAATTGACACCACATTCACTTTTCACTGAACTTCATACTTGACGAAAACATGTAAATGTATTATTGTATAGCAACTGTCCACGCGGATGCATCGCTCACTCAAGTAGGAGAGAGACAGATGTCAAACGCTGCCGAACGCGGAGGCCGATTGTGCCTCTTTGTCGCTCGTTGCGTGCTCTCGCTTGCACTTCAAGCCTTAAATGGAACGCCTCAGAGCGAGGTGACGCCGCATGAGTCATGTTTTTTCGTGCAGCCGGCTCCATCGAATTATAAGACGGTTTCACGTCAAAAAAAACTAGAAAATCAAAACCGTCGTAATTCAAGTTTATCAATAAGATTATTTTAAACCATGTACTTGTACTTCAAAAATGTAATGCAAACGTGAATTTATATTGTTAAATGGTAAACTAACTCATTGTCTAGTGCAAAACGACATTCAAAGCCCATCGAATTGAATACTGCTAAAGTTTTGTAAAATTAAACCACCCGCCAGTCTAAAACACTCAGTTTATCTACGATATACATAAAACACAACCACAAAGAAGGAGAAGAGAGTAAAGCTATATTTGAATGATACAAAGCAACAGTAAATACAATGAAAAGACATTTTATGAAATAATTAGTAAAAGGAAAATTTATGGCAAAATGCAAGCGATTTGAATTCGGTCGACCAGCTGACTGATGATATAGTGTGGACTGTGAAGGAACTTGTTCCGTCGCAGCTCACCAATTTGGAAATAACTAGCGGGTGAAATTACTCGGTAGACCGACGGTCCAAATTTTAATGTTTGGAACTTGTATGCACAACGCAAACTTTTTTTTTGAAATGTCGTTAACGAGACTCAGGCTTTTGTCAAATATCTTGTGTTCTATGATCCTCCTCCCTGATTCGCATTCCTCATATCTGTTCTATGATAGTTAACCACCAAACTTCCACAGGCTTTGTGATGTTAGATGATAGTCTCAATTCTGAAATTAATAAGTATGTAGTTTTAGTTGTCAAACTGCAGTGTCTCACTTTAAAACCGGCACGAATATCTTCACTTCGCGGCAGAAATAGGCAAGGCGGTTTACATATTATTCGGTTGGACTCGCAATACCAGCACTAAGTAATAATAATTCGTACTTATAGCTTTTTATCTCGTACATTCATCGACGCACAAAACCATATGAGAACAAAGCAAAATAATGTTTTGTTGAGTATAACACATTACATGCATAACGCGTGTAAGGTTGGTATTTGGCGCGCCTAACATCCCTGACCCGAAACAAGTGTTTGCATTATTCACGCAAATACTTCGCCCGTTGGGATTCGTACCACTGAGGCAATCCCTCGTCATCACCAAGTGGAATAAACGATACAACTTTATTAACAACATACTTTTTTTTTTCAAAGATCTTTCGGAGCCTAATTTAATAAAACTAAAACCACTTTAATAAATTCATAATCATTATTATCATCATAAAAAAGTCACTTTCTATTTAAAAGTTTTTCTCCTATATTGCAGTTATTTCTCAATCATTAAATACTGATTGAATAATTCATGAATTAGTGTCGACTATCAAACTACTGCGTTTACGTACCTGAAAGGTGTATACTGAATTGTCGATGTTGCCACCCTCTGCCTTCAGGGCCTCCACATTCAGTCTGTAGCCGACAGTTGTGAGGACAGGCCGTGTCGTTTCACTGCACTCTACACTCCCTGCTACTAGCCCCTCGAAGCGGTCTAACTTTAAAATGCTCCTCAGGTCTATTAGGAACACTGTGCCAAAGAATAGAGCAAGTGACTGATCAAGTTCCACTGAATTGTTCCTTGAAACTTACATTTCAAAACTTTGGATTTGAGCCAGTGCGCCGATAGTGAGTTTGCGATGTGATTTTATCTTCATAACTATTCGTAAGTAAACTTTTGATTAAAAAAAAAATGAAAATACATTTTCTGCCATTATCGAAAAATGAATTAATATATAAAATCGCTTCCCTCATTCACGATACAGACGTTTTTATAATTTATTAACGAGCATTAAAACATCTTTCGTGCGTATCAAAATTAAAAATTCATAAATAGAAATGAAAACCTTTTAGTGTATCTAAATAATAAATTCATTATCTTGAATTCATATTATATCGCAGGTGCTCAGCAGAGCTGGTCATCGCGGCAATTATACTCGTAGATTTAATTTTGTTACAATTAGAGATGAACGGAGTAATCAAGGACACTTACGTAAAACTGCGGCAGTTATTTATAGAATGTATTTGAGAAAATATTTAACATCTGTTTCTCATTTATTCATACTTTTTTAAATTCTAACAGCCATCGTTATAATAACGTAAAATATTTATGCTAATGTTGGTATTTTAAAATTATTGAAACGTATCTGTTCCTGTCACCCTGTCTATTTCTGCCGTGAGCATCAATGTGTTTCGGCTTGAAGGTTGGGGCAGCCGTTGTACTGTAAAATCAGAATCTTAGAACCCATGTCTCAAAAGGGGGCGGCATTTGCGTTATTGATGTCTATGGGCTCCGGTAACCACCAGATAGGCCGTGAGCTCGCCCACCCATCTAAGCAATAAAAATTATACAGACAAATTTTTAGATATTTAAACTATATCGGTAACAATATGCAGCTAGAAGGCAAACAAAATTAGCAAAGCTTCGATCAATAATAGTACTAGATTAAGGATCAGGTACAAAAATAAGACGCTCGAGTGGCCACGTTTTCAGACTCGAAAACATCATCATTTCTTAGAAAAAAATTTTTTTTTTGAACGCGCTGTGCAGCGTTTTGACGTCTTAGTGTTGGCTATGATTGGACCATACTAATTTGAAATAAGACCATAAATAAATTTGTGGTCTTATTTTTCGGGCCGTTTTTGAAGCGCTAATCGGAAATCTAGTAGTATTATTGATCGAAGTAGCAAAGTTAGCAAGTTAACGAAATACAGGAATAAAATAGCAGTTGGGTACAGTCGTATTTCATATAGCTATCATGTTAAATGAAATATTTTTTGATCGAAAGGTATTTTTTACATGTATAAATTTTCATGAAGCGAACGCCAATAAAACCTGAACATATTTTAGGGCTCAGAGACATTCCAGCCTACGACCTGCCTACTGTAAACACCACTAATCTTCTGTAAAGTAAATGATTAAATTGACAATTAAATTGACATATTACCACACGTGTATTACAAATTTCAACCGATCAATATGAATTGACAGTTTTGCAGTCTCTCCGTTCCGATTTGGAACTCATCAAAAAATGAATTCAAATTAATGAATGAAATACAACAGATACACTTACGTCCTTTTTAGGACTCCGTTGTCTTAATTTAGGAAAAAAACTGTATAATATAATAACGTTGGAGCTAAATTTCATGTTCATTTCATCTAAATCCATTCGCTGCGCACAATTCGATATACGGTTGCACAGTTTTTTGTGCAAGCCACAACTTTCCCATTTACCTATTGACACTGTGATCGTTGCCAGTACTAGTACATTAAATATATTATTGGGAGCGATAAATAGCAATTCTTAATGGAGAATATATGCATCGAATATCATTTAGCTCCTCCAATTAGAAAATTAATTCAAGATTTATTAGTCATAATTCAGTGGTGAGTTAGCTACGAATGGAGGAAGAAGGGAAATGCGCAGGGCGTGACTCTCGAATAAAACAAGACTTCCAATGATTAATCAGTTTTAGCCCAAACGTATAATTACTGAACACCTAACGGAAACTGGCCTAGCTTTAACCCTCAGACATAGTCCACTGGGTTTCTCGCCGGATCTTCTCAGTGGGTCGCGTTTCTGATCCGGTGGTAGATTCTGCGAAGCACGGCTCTTGCTAGGGATCGTGTTAGCAACGTCGTCAGGTTTGAGCCCCGCGAGCTCACCTACTAGTTAAGGATACACTGAAACAGCCTCTTAAGGCTCTTAGCTTAGATAGGAAGAAAAAAAAAAGGTCTCTGCATTTTATACAACTCTAAGACAAAGACAAAAGAAGACGTAGTATAAAATTTAATAATAGACTTTTAGTATAATAAAATATTAACGGTCCATGTCATATTTTTTGTGATTTAGACGCTTTAACAGCTAATCTAGTAATGGGAAATAACCGTAGAACCCATTAAAATAAAAATCGCCATGAGCTATGGGGTCGAAGACTGCCTAACAAGATCAAAAAGCTTTACAAATTTATTTTAACAATAAATGTCACTTAAAAGCGACAAAAGCCAATGTGGAAATAAGCCCGTAAATTTCAGAATTTAGTCAGTTTTGCCTTTTACTTAAATATTTATATTTTTCTTTATTAATTAAGCTTTTTTGATACGAAGATTTTTCGTTAAAGGAAAAATTATTGCTATAATTGTGTTTCTAATGGCATTAAAAACATCGGCAGATTTTTTCTACTATTTTTTATGATACTATACTGGTAATCTCGTTGAGTGCCGGTTTAGTAATTACCGGTAATTTAGAATACCATACTCAGAGTCGAACCATTTCAATTATGTATTACTTAAAAATCTAAGGGTGAATATTTTCTTAGTCGCTTAAGAAATATATATTTTTGGAACGAAGTTCCTTATGGGACGATGCGGAGGGGTACTCTAACCGGGAAAAACCGTCCGTAACGTAAGATTTTTTCTATTTAGTTTGCTATCAACAGATGTCGCTGCACGTAAATTCAACAATTCCTGAATCGCGGTGACGAGATGTTACACAGTTGATAGACCTTCTCGTATTTCTCTTGCTTAATAATACTTATCTGGCGTAAGAGATACCGTGATCATGCAAGCGGTTCCCCCAGAGCGAGACTGCTCCATTGCACTGCGAAGTGGTTAACCGTTGCGATTATTTTTATATTTATCAATAAAAAAATCATAATAAAAAAGTATACCCGAATAGTTATTTTCTTTATACCTCGAATAGAACTAAAAATTAATATTTTTATAATAAGGAACCTCGTGCCTATCCGGTGTCCCACGACACCACACGTCTTTTTTTTTTTGCCTTGCAGGCAGACGAGCGTACCGCCCATCTGGTGATAAGCAGTTACCGTCGCTCATGGACGTTAGCAATGCCATGGGCAGAGCCAAGCCACCGCCTACCATAAAAGATGCATTCGCAAAGAAGAGCTGCCCTCAATTTGGTAGGTCTATGGAGGCATACGTTAGCAAAACCCACTCTTTCCGGCTTAGCTCGTGCTCGTCCACCTGTCCTGAGAAAACTGAGAGACGTTTAGGGCATCAGTAGTCCTTCCTTCATATTCGAGTTCTATTCGTGGTATAAAGAAAATAAAACTGGAGGTTTCGCAACAACCCACGGTCAATCGGTAACGTGCGAACTTATTGTGGTACACTTCATTCACGGTTATTAGCAAAAGAGTTAGCGTGTTGCGCAAACGAACGCTCTGAGATTGTGGTCAATGAATGTTATCACAAAGTTAAGTCGTACACTGTGTTCATTACTAATAAACATCTTACGTTACGGACGTTTTTTCCCGGTTAGGGTACCCCTCCGCATCGTCCCATAAGGAACTTGGTTCCAAAATACCATTTAAAAAAACCGTTAACTCTTAATATTACAATAGACATTTCAGTAACAGACATGCCGAAAGTCTGCCCGGGTCGCAGTCTTTTAAATAATCCATTTATGATTACTATCCTACTCACTCTCTCCTCTTACCTCCCTATTAGGAGCACGCACAGGTTGAGTTCACAGTCCTGCCAAAGTGGTAAATATGCTTTCCTCCTGTACGAACGATTTAATATACGATTAAAATACTTAGGACTACTTTATCAATTGACATTTTTCATTTCTAATAATATAATGTGATGATATAACTGTCTCAAATTTGAATTCAGTCAGGTTTACGTGATAGATAAGATTTATTTGATGCCGATACAGTTCCTGGTTAATATGTATATTTTCGTAACAGCCATGACTAACTTTATTAAATATGGACTTTTATCTTCAAGCGTTTTTTATGAAGTCAAAATAGGTAAAGTTTTAATTTATTCTCGTGTCAAGGCTTTCCTGAAGTTAGAACCGTAAAGTTGATACATGCGTATGTAGAGATGTCTACGCGTTTTTAGTATGGAGCTCAAAAGTTGGGTAAATAATTTATTTAAATTCCGTAAAGAGACTATGGCGGCTATTATGGACATAGCCATAAATAGTTGACAATAAGCATCTTTTGGATTTTCTCTAAATGAGCAAATAGGCTATGGCCCACTTAATGCCACTACGCACACTACCTAATCAAAAATAAAGGGTCAAAGTCTCAATTAATTTTTATGTCGAGTGTGTCACCCTTCTACTTCACGCCAGAAATAAGCAGGGTGTTGGATTCTGATATGTCATACACTCTCATAAATCTTATTACTTGTAAACTATTCATTATGTAAACGTTTATATACAAAGTCAAACCGTCCTATACTTTACGACGAACCAATTATTTTTGATCGGATAAATCATGATACAGTGGAAATTTTCGACCGATAAATAAAACCATTATTTCAGATCATTCCTTATTTCAGGTATTTAAAAGTATTAGTTAGAAAAAATATTTATCATATTGCATTCCGAAAAAAATTCAAGAGAACGATATTCTATATGTAATAGAATTTAAGGAAACATCAGTAACCTAATTTGTTGCAACACGTATTTTATATTATATTCTTCTGATTCAGAGTAAAATTTTCGAATACAATTTTCCCGGATGCCAAATTGACAAAATGACGGATGGCAAAATCTACTCTCATTGAATAAATTCAAAGATTTGCAAATACACTTAAGATGAAGAATAATCCGATTACCGCATTAGGGAATTTTGCAGATAACCATTTAACTTCAAAATCTCTGGAAAAAAAGTTTTGTGCTACTTAATACGGCTTCGAATGACTTAAAATAATTTCCAACTTATTTTCGTGAAAAACACTTCGGTAAGATGTCCTTTCGTAATAAGATGTTCTTAGCTTTTTGCCTTAATACCGAATGCTTGGAATACTTTATTTTCTCTTCAGATTTGTGATATTGAATTCTGTAACTTTTCTATGCAAAAGAGTGGTTGTAATGTCATTAAAATCAACAACAGCAACATGCTTGACTATTAAATAAAATAAAATATTTAAACCTCTGACTAGACATATGGGCAACGAGCTCGAATCCTCATGCTGTTGAATGGTGAACACAGCCCCACGCACCTTGAGGCCAAACCTTATTTGTGATATCAACCACATTTCACTTCATTCGGTACAGTAGTATTATAAATTTCTATTGAAATTGTGATTTCTTCTTTGGACTTTGTGACGGGACTCAATCAATCTTAGAAGCCCTGATAGAACAATTGTCGGATTGAATGATAAGACTAGACCATCATCATTGCAAATTTTTAAATCATACCGATTTAACCGCAATATAAGATATAATATTTAAACAAAAAAAACACATGACATTTAATTGTGGCGGGTAGCCATCACACAACGCAAGATAATTGACAGACGCCTGAATCTCGCTTACGACATTTTCAAGATAAAGCGCATATATACAAGTTCCGAACAACTACATTTGGACCGGCGGTCTACCGAGCAAATATCATCCGCTTGGTGGAAGATCTTTCCTTTCGTCGTAAACTCCCCAAACTGGTGACCTGCGACGAGATGTGAACACGCAGCCTTCTGATTCATCATCAGCGCATCAAGAACTTCGGCTACCGCAATCCCCGCATTCTCGCAGATAAAAGCACGTCATTGACAGTCGTCCCACAGCAAGCCAGCATCGCAGCCTCAACAGGACCATCGCAGCCGACTCACCGCGCTTCCTGGTCCTACAGCACGCAACTTCACTGCCTCAACACGCCGCTACAGTTCATCGCAGCCCACGACCGGGTCATCAACGCTTGGGGTCACACATCTCCGGCGTGGCAGCTCTGCATCACATGGACTACGCACGACACGCACGCAACATTCAAGCTCAGTCTCGACTCACCGCAGACTTCGAGCAGCACTGGCGACAATCACGCAGCATTCAGCTCAGTTTCGACTCACTGCAAACTTCGAGCAGCACTGGCGACACGCACGCAGCATTCAAGCTCAACCTCGACTCACCGCAGGTTTCGAGCAGCACTGGCCCTTGCAAGCTAATCTCAGCACGGACAACGCTAACTAAAAATGATACGACCTCCAGTCTCGGAGGGGAGTGATGTGGCGGGTAGCCATCATACAACGCAAGATAATTGACAGATGCCTGAATCTCGCTTACGACATTTTCAAGATAAAGCGCATATATACAAGTTCCGAACAACTACATTTGGACCGGCGGTCTACCGAGCAATATCACCCGCTCGGTGGAAGATCTACCCTTTGTCGTATATCTCCCCAAATAATCTTAATCTATGTCATATACGAAGAAGATTCTGAATGTGCTTTTTATTTAACATAAAACGTGAACAGTCCAATTAACTTTAAAACTAGGAGCAATAACGTGATAATATTGAAAACAAAAGTACAATTACCACAGTTCGCAATTGCAATCCAATTTGAAACCACACTCGAAACACAAAATGCATCCTCGAACGCTGTGTTCATTTTTCTACCTAACGTTACCTCCGGCACCACTGTATTCTTTATTTTCTCAACACAAGCTTATGTAATTTAAATCGAGTGCTCAACCAATTTCAATCTAAAAATGTCTTATTTAAAATTAGTAGTGGTCCCCCGGCAGTCGAAATTCGACCATAATTAATTGAAATTATAAGCTTGTACACTAGATATTATGATTCTACTGTCAAAGACTATTATACTACTATAATCACAGATTTCGCCAAGACTACACTTTAGACAAATGTTAATAAAGAAAAAACAATATTTAATGTATTCGCAAATAAACCACCGGCTATAAGCAATAAGAAAAGTTTGACAATAAACAAATATGACGATACTTGTAGTATGCATGCGTGTGTGTCAAAAACATGGTAGTGTGTGTATTGTGTTTTTTAGTTGATTTAATGTGATATTAATGCATAATTTAAAAAAATATTAACATCCTGCACTCCCTCTCTATATTCTCTATAAGAGTGGGCAATTTCATACTTTTTTCGTCCGCGCAATTTCCGTAAAAAGGTGTACAAAGTTTTTGCTTCACGTATTAATATATAGATAGTATTACAGTGGATTGAAAGCCTCCGGAGCGGCAAGCTTTTTAAAATATATCACACGATATTTGAATTTATAAATACACTTTACCATGTTTTTACGGAGTTCGCATTCTGAATTGTTTGTTTGGAAGGAATTTTTCGATTAATTACCCACTTTTTTTAACCAATAAGACTTGCAAATTTGAATATATCTCACGATCAGATATTAAAGTACAAAAAGAAAAAAAAAATGCGAAATAGTGAGATAAGTGAAAGGATATTTAAAAAAACCATTCAATAATGGTTTTTCTACGAACTATTTATTACTGCATTATTGAAAGAGTTTCACTTTTTTTTTCGCGACCTGAATACGATTGAATTCATTTGGCAGTATCGAAGTCAGTATTCGCAATTTAATAAATCGTTTTACCGTAGATGAAACTTTAATATCGCACCAGGGGATTTCGGAAGGATAATGTGAAAGGTTTCACATAACGTATAATTTGGGACATTTTACAGAACCATTGTGAGATTTGCAATTTAACCAAATACAATGTCAAACGTAATACAGAAAGTGCGTAATTTAAATTATAATTACTATATTATATTAATCTTTTGTTCAAGATCAAAAGTATTACAAAAACGAAAATTGGGAACTCCGGAAATGGAAGTCTATAACTATATAACTCTTTTCCAACAAATCTTTGAATTAATTAAATTAATGAACAGACATGAATTATCATAATAACTTTTTTAATATTACTTATTTAAAAAACCAGCAATTCTACAACCAGGAGAACTGTAAACACAGTTGATCTTCTACAGCAATCTTGTTCTTGTTCAGATGTATACATTATCGAAAAACCTTTTTTACTAGTGATTTGTTTCTAGTGATGGTGTTGGGAGATGGCAGTGCGCGGTGGGCGCTACACGTGGCGGTGCTGTTGGCATGCCTTTTGGTGGGTGCACTGGCGCCAGAGAAACTGGAGCCCTGTACGGGTAGCCCGCTCTGCTCTTGCAGAACTGCTCACATGTCTTGCATCGCGGTACCTTTACACAGATTTCCAGGTAAGTCCTAAATGTCTATCACAAGTAATTTCAATATATTATTTGCTATGTCAACCTCGTAAAGATATTTGAAATATTAAGGATTGAAACGTCCACTATTTTGTTAATAAAAATAGTACTGAAGTCGATTTGTGAAACATTGGTTAAACTGTCCCAATGAAACCCAAATGAAATTTTGTAGTTTGTGTTTATTTTTCGCCATGAATCCATTCTTCTATAACATTCATAAAAATGATATTTTTCAGGTCTAAAATTTCTTCAAATTATACTTTTTTTAGGATTGGCAGGGCTCTTACAGAAATATTAAATGAATGTTCTAAATTAGGTAAACGGTAGGCAAAGTCTTGGCTCTGCCCCTGGCATTGCTGAAGGGCAATAAAAAATAAATAATAAATGATTAAATAATACGTCATAAATTTATCTTCCAGAATGGCCTCGGATAGAGCTTCAACACCTAGACGTGAGCATGTCTAACCTAGAAGTGCTCTCGGAAAGTGCTCTAGATGGTTTGAAACTGCAAACTTTAGTTCTAGTAGCTAATAAATTGCATCATATAGAACAACACGCCTTTAGGTAACATTTACAATCATAAAACTTAATTAATTAAACAATCTTACAGAAATTTAACAATTTTGGTTAATTCTCTTCCAGTTCGATGGCGTCATCGCTGGCGTCTCTAGACCTTGGTTACAATGAGTTCACTGAAATACCGCAACAAGGCTTAAAAGATTTAAAAGTTTTGAACTGGTTGAATTTGCAGAAGTGAGCATACGTTTCAAAATTGAGTTCATTTTAATTAAACTTTGTTTGTTCGAATAATTAATGTTGGAATTGTTTCTTTTAGTAACAACATAGTGTACATTGGGCTCGAAGTTAATTGGCATCACCTAGAAGAGACTCTCACGAGCTTATCGCTGAGCAACAATCAAATTATTTTTCTGAAATCTCAAGCTTTATCATCACTGCACCATCTCTTACAATTAGATTTGGAAGGAAATCATATAAGAAGTATCAGTTCAGATTCCTTGCCACAATCCTTGACACTCCTCAAGCTCTCCAATAACTTTTTATTTGAATTATCCTGTGATTTGATTTTTAATCTACCTCGTTTACAGTCCATCAATTTAAGACATAATTATGTAAGATTGAACGCCAACACTCCATGTCATCATAACAAAAGTAAAAAGCTGGAAAAACTGGATTTAAGTAACAATAATATAAATGACAGTTCTGACATTGACATTTTCCATGAAATTCAAATACGACAAATAATTTTAGATTTAAACGAACTGAGCACAATACCGAAGTTATTGTTTACAAACATTCGAATCGAGAAACTGTCCGTTTCGTATAACAAACTCAATTCCGTAAGCCGCGATCTGTTTTTGTCACTGAGAAATTCACTTGAACATTTAGAATTGGAACACAACAATTTGTTCCACTTGCCGGACAGTCTGGCTCTAGTCGGTCGACTTCGTCATTTATCTCTAGCTTACAACCGACTAGAAGAATCACCCCTACTGCCTGCTCGGATTCAGACGCTCTCGTTGGCTGGAAACTTTTTAACTTCAATACCCGCCGTGCTACAAACACTTGAGCCTGGTTCCATTCGTTATCTGGACCTAAGCTACAACAAGATATCTAATTTGTTACCCAACGACTTTTTAGATTGGGCCACAGCCCTGGGAACTGTAAACTTAAGAGGTAACAGAGTTGCACAAATCTATTCGAATGTTTTTCCAGCAAATATGCCGCTCAAAGAGATAAATCTGAGTTTCAACGACTTGTATTACATTCACCCACAATCTTTTGCGAACGTAACCGGTTCTTTACACATATTGGAATCTTCTTCTACATTATTCAGTGGATTTTTTCCTTTCGAAATTGAAGAAAACCTAGATTTTCTCAGCTGGCTTTCCTTCGACAACAACGATTTTCATATTTTAAAACTATCCGAGCTTGTTTCATTCCCTAATCTTAAATATTTGAACATGGAATACAATAGAATTGTTGATATTATTACCACATATCCATATAATTTCACTTTATCTCTAAGCAATATAAGAATGTCCTTTAACTTTTTAAGCTACATACAAAGAGAAACGTTTGCTCATATGCCAGAGTTAAGAAACTTGGATTTATCTTATAATCGAATCAACAACTTAACTAAGCACAGTTTCGCAAACTTACCGAATTTAAGATATTTATCTCTGGCGGGTAACATAATCGATACGATGGAAACTGAGACCTTCACGAATTTACCGAAATTGGAAGTATTAGAGCTTCAAGGAAACAACTTCACGTATTTGTCGTTGGCTTCATTTCATAACATTTCAGGTTCCGGTGTAACGTTTACATTAAATGTTAGTAGAAATTGCATTCACCATATTGAGGGTGAAACAATTTTACCTATCAACGTTTTTGATGGTTCACATAACTGTATGCATCAAGTGCCAAATAGTTTATTATTAGCGATAGAATTTTCAATTCGACAAATAATTTTATCTTATAATAGAATCGTGCAAATACCTAATGAAGTATTCGGTGAGGCCACATTTTTAGAGATAGTAGATTTACACAAAAACGAAATACATTTAATAAAAAAGAAAGCATTTACAAACCTTGTATTTTTACAAATCTTAGATTTATCATTCAATGCTATTTCTCAGCTGTCAGTGGAACAGTTTTATAATCTAAACAAATTAAGATATTTAAACTTAAATCACAACAATTTACGATTACTACCCCGAGATATCTTTAAAAATACGATAATCGAACATTTAGATTTAAGCCACAATGAAATATCTATCTTCCCAGTAACAGCTCTTTCACAGATTGGCTTTACTTTGCGTTATCTAGATTTATCAGAGAACCGAATCGAGTATTTGGACAGCAACATTTTTCGTAACACACAATTCTTATTAAACTTGAACTTGGGTAAAAATCTTTTAACGGTGTTATCCGATAACACGTTTTCGAGTCTTGGTGGGCTGCGTCAACTGGATCTGAGTTCTAACTCTATAAAGGCCAACTTTAAGGAGTTGTTTCACAACCTCCCAAACTTGAGGCATTTGAACCTTGCAAATGTAAGCTTAAAGTCGGTGCCTTATCTACCCTTGATGAACTTAACTAGTCTCAATTTAACGTCAAATTACATTAACAGTTTTAAGGATATTGATGTAAAGCGACTAGTGAATCTTCGCCATTTAGATTTAAGTCACAATCGTCTTACCTCTTTAGTGCCAAAGATGTGGATTCATTTAAATAATTTAAATACGCTCGACGTCTCTTACAACCCTATAGTTAGGATTACACAGAATAGTTTCAAATGGTTAAGTAANAGTCTCAATTTAACGTCAAATTACATTAACAGTTTTAAGGATATTGATGTAAAGCGACTAGTGAATCTTCGCCATTTAGATTTAAGTCACAATCGTCTTACCTCTTTAGTGCCAAAGATGTGGATTCATTTAAATAATTTAAATACGCTCGACGTCTCTTACAACCCTATAGTTAGGATTACACAGAATAGTTTCAAATCGTTAAGTAATTTATCTCATTTAAATTTAAATGGTTTGAAATACTTAGATATTGTGGATCCAGATTCCTTCCGTCCCTTGATGTCTTTGCGATCCCTATATATTCAAACTTGGTCTAATATAAACCACTCCTCTTTCCGAATATCTAATATCACTTCTTCACTTCCTTCTTTGTATAAATTGATAATATTCTGGACTGATGAAGTAATCGATAGCCAGCTTCATGAAATTGATGCTAAGAACGTTCGGTACCTAGAAATTAGAGGAATCAAACTTCAAAGAATTTCAGACGATGCTTTTCATGCCTTCGCTCGGAATCAAGAATTATTCTTGAGAATCACAATGACATCATTAAGAAAATTGCCAATGGCTTTTATGAGACATCTGGGAAAAATACCTCAACTAGGTATTGACATCAGCTACAATCAACTCTCTACTCTCAACCCAGCCATATTCTATCCGAATTTTACAAGTTGGAGTCAAGTTGCAACCAAGTTACTGTCAGGTATGTTTATTTTTAGTTGACAAAGATTTTCGTTTATTTTTTTAATCATTTGAGAATGCTTCTTTATAACATCATAATATTTTAATAGAATATTCCTTATTAACTTCTGTATGATAAGGCGAAGAGTAAAATTCGTTATTTATTTACAGTAAGCTGTAATTACTTAATTACTTACACTGTGTAAACTTGTAAATCGTGGTTAGTGAAAGCTATTTTATTATTAAAATTTACAAAGCCCCTCGCCACAGAGTATATACATATACATAGGCCTAGCAACGCAACGTAATGAGTTTTAATTCTTAATATGCCACTCGAAACTTTTGCGATAGTCTCGACTGACAAGCTAGTAAATGGAAAAGTATTAATGAAATCCGTCCCTCCTACCATAATACTAATTACATAAAAATAGATTGCTTTATGTTGAAATTAATATTCTGTTCTAACACAACCAGGTGGCTTGATTTTAACGGGAAATCCATTGGAATGTGAATGTGAACTAGCGTGGCTGGGCGCATGGCTACGACGCTGGTTGCAAGAGAACGAAGCAGGGGCAGAGTTGAGGAGAGCAGTGCGTGAAGCGTCTTGTAAAGATCAACTCGGACGAAGGATACCGCTTCTACAACTCCGCGCTGACGAAGCCGAATGCCACGCGAGTGCGCTTTCCAGTGACGCTCAGCTCAATCACAAAAAGATGCTACACACATTCATAGCCGCAATCTGGATTTTAATATTCAGATGATGTCAATGAACTGGCTTAGTATAATTAATAAATAAAACATTGTAAATATTCGAAGCCGCACGAATCTATTGATTTGCAAAAAGAACAGACTGTAGGTGAATTTTGTACACGGTACGATTTTGAATATTAATGTAGACAACATGAGACGTGTTCGTGATTAATAGGGTTAATTAATAACGAAATTGATTAATATTGTAATAATTGAAAAATGAGATGTTATCTTAAACAATTTTGAAGGTCTTAAGAGTAGGGATTTAGAAAGTCGATTATGTTGGTTGTGGTCCGAAATTCTTAATTTAAATCAGTATTTCTTTTGTAATAGTCAATTTCATTTCATCGGAAGTCAAGTTTCAATACATTTTGTGTATAATTTTTCTTGCTTAAGTTATTTCGTTGTAAATATGTATAAAAATAAAATATTTTTACAAAATTAATCCCTTGCTTTATTTTAGGTTATTAATAATGCATTTATGGCTTCAAATAATTTTTTTCTTTTAATTATTATTTACCTATCCAATATGATGACTTTGACAATGATGAAACAGCTTGTGATTGAATAAATAAATACTTTCCATATACGAAATTGCCAGTGGAGCGTGTTATGAGCATGCACGCTTCGGAACCACTATCCAGCGCATTTTTATCACGATCGAATTTAAACTGGACTTAAACAAACAGCAAATAGAGCAGTCGTGATTCTAAAAATACTTAGGATTATAAACAACAGTCGTCAGTGAACACGAAAATTGTGTAGAATTCGAAACGAAGCAATTTTTTTTTTATTCCACTTGTAGGCAGACGAGCATACGGCCCACCTGATGGTGAGTGGTTACCGTCGGCCATGGACTTCAGCAATGCTAGGGGCAGAGCCAAGCCGCTGCCTACAAATGATGATAAAAGTAAATGATAACAGGAAAATCGTAAATGTAAACGTGGAAGTATTTTCAATTAAATTATTCTTTTTTTTTATTGCTTAGATGGGTGGACGAACTCACAGTCCACCTGGTGTTAAGTGGTTACTGGAGCCCGTGACATCTACCAAGTAAATGCGACACTCATCTTGAGATAAAAATAATAAAAATAAAAATAATTCTATATAATAATAGTTCGGCCTCATGTCTCAAGGTTTCAACTAAAATAAAACGCATGATTTCATCCTTCGAGGTTTCCTTTTTTATTTACTACTTAAAATTAATGACTCGTAGACTATTTTTAAACTTTGCAGTTTAATCTGAAGCTATTTTTTTTATTTTACGCGTCGCATACTTTTCGGTGTCAGGATTAATTGAAAATTAAATTAAATTTTTAAACGTTCTAAGAAATCAGGAATATATTCGTTTGGAATATTGTATCAACTGAAAACGATTTTGTTAAATGAAGCTTAAGCCGCCTTAGTTCTTTTATTAGGTTATCATCTCAAGTCGTTAGATCGGAGTGAAATATACGAGTATGTATTTATGATTATTATAGATAACTCAAATATATGACTCAATATGAATTATTTATTGAATTTCTGTAATAATCTCATCATAAATTAAATTTTCATGAAATTTAAAATCGAGCAACGTATCGCTATGTGATATACGATCACATTTACGCGGCTCCAATATTATAATATAACGGCTTTAACAGCCGCGTTCGAAAGAAAATAAATCATAATAGACTTGGAAACGGATAGCTACATTTAATTTCCGACCCTGGCTTTAACACTGTGTCGATTCTGAGCTATTTTAACCAGTACTAATGCAATGCAATTAATTTATTGGTGAATTTGCTTTAGTTGATAACGGCTTAATTTATTATAAGCATACAATGTTTCACAATCACCGCCATGTTTATTTCTTTAAACAAACTAGATGATGATTTTTGATAACGCCATCATGTTTAATCATCTTTAAAGCGGTTAATTGCCCTCAATTAAGAAAAATAGTATTATTATTCGCCAATAGATGTCGGGAAGAGCTGATTATTAAAAAAACGAATAAAACAACATTTTCTGAAAATAAATCGTAGCTAGATTGATTTATCGCCCCCGAAATCCCCTGTATACTAAATTTTATGAAAATCGTTGGAGCCGTTTCCGAGATTCAGATTATATACATATACAAGAATTGCTCGTTTAAAGGTATAAGATTAAGAGAAGATTCGAGAAATATCAACGATTCCATATATATTATATGGCCATCGTTTATCAATCCAAATATTACAATACACCACACAGCTATTGCCCGATGTGATAAAATCAAAATTCTAAATCATTCAATCCCGTTTCTGTAAGACAACCGTCGGAGCACTATGGTATAAAAGAAACTACAAGGACCTTGAATTAGAATCGTTAAGTGAGTACCTGAAGACAGCGTCGGAATGCTTCTTCGAGAAAACGGCGCGACACAATAGCCTTCTTATTATGGCGGCCTTAAATTAAATACCCAGACAACGGGACAACGCACAGTCGCCTCGCACTAAGCACGTCATGTTAAAACCTCCCGCTCCATTTTGCATTTTGCCCGCTCCGGTGCTTTTTGTCAAACAACGGTCACCGTCAGAATTTGTCGAACATGACAAAGAATTGGACATGCAACGTAACGCACAGACACAACCCAACGAGTTTTTCGCCGAACCTTCTCAGTGCGTCAGATTTCGGTCCGGTGGTAGATTTAGCCAAGCACTGGTCTTCATAGGCGCATGCTGGCGATACCTCTTTGGACTCAGCCCCGTGAGCTCTCCTACCAAACGACAGTGAAACCAGAATGCCCTACGAGTCTACTGGCGGTTAGATATAATAATTAATATAATAATTAAAACATCGTAAGTATAGATCATTTTTTAAAGAAATACGTTTTAAACAGCAGGCTATGAACGACTTCCACGATTAAGTAATCACGGGTTCTATTTTATAGATCTAAGTTGATGTAAACCTTCAAGTCATGTCTGAGATTGAGTGAGGCATGTGATGATATCTATCAGAGATTCATACCACCTATCTCACGAATGAAATCTCCATATCTCTATATATAAAAATGAATTGCTGTTCGTTAGTCTCGCTAAAACTCGAGAACGGCTGGACCGATTTGGCTAATTTTGGTCTTAAATTATTTGTGGAAGTCCAGAGACGCTTTAAAAGGTATAAAATATGAAAATGCTCGGAATTAAATAAAAATAACAATTTTGCTTTTCCTTTGATGTGTCTTCCGTCGGACGAATTCTTTTGTTTGTTTTAAATTTATTTTATACAAAAGTTTTGGTCTTTTATTTATCGATTGAGGTACTACGAAGTCTGCCGGGTCAACTAGTTATGAATATAGTCTTTGAGTAAAATATATCTGTCAGACAAGGAAGACGACATTATCAGGTTTAATTTTTGGCTACAGAGAAAAAAACAAAATTTGTATTATACAAAAATACCGTTTAAAAGGATTATTACTAAATAATAACGTCTAATTATTATCAACTTGTGATCTAATTGAATAGTCACGATAGAGCGTTTCTATTTTTACTTTTTCAAGAATTCGGATATGGAAATGTTTCGAATTATACTCGAGTAAAAAAGTCATCGCTACGGGTGTAAATAACTACTTTTAAGGGTATGTAAGTTGCCCTAGTCACGGTGTCAAGGTACTACTGGTGTTTTTTGGAGTACCGAATATTTTTCAGTTAGGTACGTAGTAATAATACATTTATTATTTACTTAGAATTTTAAATCTGCACATTCGTTCCCATTACTGCGTGATCTGGCTGAGAATCAGACCTTGTACAAACGAGAATTAAAAAAGAAACACGGTACATTGCTTCGAATATTTGCTAACGGATTTCGGGTGACTTACTGGAAACGGTCGACGTGCCTGCGCTTCACACGACTCCTACAATTTATCGACAACCCTACTTACAAATTACGACTTTATCGAACACAGTGCTTTCTAAGGTTTTCACGAGTCAAAGGCAAGATTACAAAATACGTTCACAAATTAATATTGAAGGCTTATTTTATTATTAGATAAATATTATTTTCATATTATTATTTTTATGTACGCCTCTACGTGGACGGTGTTAGAATTAGATTTTTTTTATTGCTTAGATGGGTGGACGAGCTCAACGCCCACCTGGTTTTAAGTGGTTACCGCAGACCATACCCATAGACATATATAACATAAATGCCGCCACCCACCATATGAGTTCTAAGGTCTCAGTATAGTTACAACGGCTGCCCCACCCTTCAAACCGAAACGCATTACTGCTTCACGGCAGAAAGAGGCATTATTATCAATTATTATTTTTTTACTATTAATCGTATAATGCTTGGAGTTTCGTGGACTGACTTTCGTACAAATATCTCGATACTTCAGGAACTCGGCATCAAGCAGCGTCTATTTGCTATAATACAGTCTCGAATGTTGGATTTCTTCGGACACGTTTCGCGACGAGATGGCCGGTCCATAGAACGCCTCGTTGAACAGGGAAGGGTTGATGGTACAAGACCGCGCGGGAGGTCACCAATGCGGTGGACCGGCCAAATTAAAACTGCAGTGGGAGGTCCCTTAAATGAGTGCAGCAGAATGGCCTCGAGCAGGGAGAGATGGCGGGACATCGTGAGCCGCATCAGGTCTGCCCCTTCCAACACTACATGACGATCACCATCACTCTGTCAAGAGTGACACGATTGAAAAGAAGAATCTTTAGAAATTATAATTTAAAAGGAATTGAACAATATTTTGTGGTGATAGGGCATATCATCTCCCATGGGTAGATCATCTACAACCAGTCCACCTGTTTCCGTCCCGAAGCAGTCATACGTTTTATGTTGCTGAATGATATAATCGTGATGACACAATTCAATATTTTAGAGATATTTGATATTTTAATTGTACCACGTACTCAAATTTTGTATTTTGTAAGGGAAATAAAACCAGCCTTTCATTATCAGGTACTTTGTTCACGTCGAGGCTTATGTGTGTTGATGTATTAATAAAGAAAATTTATTTCACAAGAATTTAAAATAATCTTAAAACCTTACTTTAAGTCACATAACAAGATTGTTACCCTCAAGAAATGTCAACTTAAATAAAACTAATACACTTTTGCATAAAACTGTGCACTCGACATTTTGCGTGCAACTTGGAGTTTAACTGTTCATAAGTATGAAAACTCATGGACGTGAATTTTTGAACTAAAACGTAAACATTTAAAGAGCTTTAGTTTGTGGTACTGTAGAACTATAAAGCGCGAGGAACCTTATTTTTTAAATGTTTCAACTAAAATTATACGTTTTGCAAAACCTGTTGTAAAAAGAATATGTAGCCTACCTATGCAGGTGTCTGGTTTCACGGCTCAGCTGACGTTACTTGTTTCCGGAGCCCATAG